ACCCCTTAATGACATGTGCATTTCTGATGACCATACCCCTTAATGACATGCACATTTCTGATGGCCATGCCTCTTAATGACATGTGCATTTCTGATGACCATGCCCCTTCTTGACAATGCACATTTCTGATGATAATGCCCCTTAATGACATGCGCATTTCTGATGACCATGCCCCTTATTGACATGTGCATTTCTGATTACCATGCCCCTTATTGACATGTGCATTTCTGATGACCATGCCCCTTAATGACATGCACATTTCTGATGACCATGCCCCTTAATGACATGTGCATTTCTGATGACCATGCCCCTTATTGACATGCGTATTTCTGGTGACCATGACCCTTAATGACATGCGTATTTCTGATGACCATGCCCCTTAATGACATGCACATTTCTGATGACCATGCCCCTTAATGACATGCGTATTTCGGATGACCATGCCCCTTAATGACATGCACATTTCTGATGACCATGCCGCTTAATGACATGTGTATTTCTGATGACCATGCCCCTTAATGACATGTGCATTTCTGATGACCATGCCCCTTAATGACATGCGTATTTCTGATGACCATGCCCCTTAATGACATGCGTATTTCTGGTGACCATGGCCCTTAATGACATGTGCATTTCTGATGACCATGCCCCTTATTGACATGTGCATTTCTGATGACCATACCCCTTAATGACATGTGCATTTCTGATGACCATACCCCTTAATGACATGTGCATTTCTGGTGACCATGCCCCTTAATGACATGTGCATTTCTGATGACCATACCCCTTAATGACATGCGCATTTCTGGTGACCATGCCCCTTAATGACATGCATATTTCTGATGACCATGCCCCTTAATGACATGCATATTTCTGATGACCATACCTCTTAATGACATGTGCATTTCTGATGACCATGCCCCTTAATGACATGTGCATTTCTGATGACCATGCCCCTTATTGACATGTACATTTCTGATGACCATACCCCTTAATGACATGTGCATTTCTGATGACCACACCCCTTAATGACATGCACATTTCTGTTGGCCATGTCTCTTAATGACATGTGCATTTCTGATGACCATGCCCCTTATTGACATGC